GGCGTCGCGCAAGGGAGCTGGGCCAGGCTGAAAGAACAGTGACAATTCTCTTTTTTCTTTTTTCCAGTAAATGTTTATTTCCTGGAAATTGATTAATGGCTTAAAGTAAATAGAAAAAGTAATTTTTCCCTGTGGGTAAAATTAGAGAAAAAAGAATTTTTCCGCTGCTAAAGAAATTGTTTATTCTCCAGTTATTTTGAACCAACGTGATATTTAATTGAAGAAAAAGAGACTTTGACATGATTATGATGTTGTTATTTTCTGACCAACGTTGTTAATAATAATATCGTAATTTTAATGATTTATGCATTAATTCTATTTCTGCCCAATGGTGATGTAGAATTAGTGTATAAGAACAGTTGTAAAATTTTAATGATTTATGCGTTAATTCTATTTCTGCCCAACGGTGATGTAGAATTAGTGTGTAAGAACAATTGTGAATTTTAATGATTTTATACATTAATTCTATTTCTTCCTAACGGTGATGTAGAATTAGTGTATACGAACAGTTGTATGTTTTGATTTTGATCAATGTTGGAATCAAGGCATGCAAATGGTGTTATTTTTATGTTAAGAAAAGTTTTGACCTAGTTTTCATCTTGTCTAAGGTGGACTGGGTAGTCACCTCGCCGTGTTCCACAGAGCCTGTGGCACCGGTGAGGAAGACAAACGAGGATGGTGCCATTTGGGTAACTACAGAGAGGGATTTTGAATCCCGAAAGATGCCCTATGCCCTTGTGTATAGGAAGTGGGTCACTGCCAACCAGAAATGTTTGGCTGTGATAAAGAACACGATTGAGCCTGTAATTGTGGGCTTAATCCCAGAGTATGACACGGTCACCGAGTACCTCGATAGAATAAAGAATCTGTTCACTGGCTCTTCAAAGACATTTGCTATCCAGCTGATAAAGCAGCTGGTGACAGAGCGTTACTCTAATAATGGTGGCATAAGAGAGCTCACGATGCGTCGTCGAAATTATGGCATTGTCGTTTAGGCCATATTTCGAGGGGGAGAATAGAAAGACTAGTTAAGAATAATATTCTTCCTCCATTAGAGCTCTCAGAATGCATAAAAGGAAAGTATGTAAAGAAAATTAAGAAAGATGTCAAACGAAGCGCAGGAATTTAACAGATTATTCACACAGACATCTATGGTCAGTTTCCTATAAAGAGTGTGGATGGTTATGTTTCGTTCATAACATTCATAGATGATTACTCCTATTATGGCTACATTTATCCAATCAAAGAAAGAAAAGAAGCATTGGATAAATTTAAGATATTTAAGGCAAAGTTGAAAATTAACACAATTTAAAGATTAAGATAGTCAGGTCCGACCGTGGGGGAGTACTACGGTCGGCATACCCCATATGGCCAAGTTTCTGGACCTTTTGTAAGGTTCTTACAGGAGAATGGCATAGTAGCCCAGTATTCTATACCGGGTGAACCTCAGCAGAATGGAATAGCTGAAAGACGGAATTATACCCTGATGGATATAGTGCGCAGTATGATATGTTACTCCACCTTACAGTTGAGCCTGTGGATGGAGGCGTTAAAAACCGTCATTCATATTCTCAATAAAGTACCAAGTAAGTCGGTGCCCAAAATACCATATAAGTTGTGGACAGGAAGAGTACCCTCACTAAACCACTTGAGTGTGTGGGGGAGCCCTGCTGAGGCTAAAGTATTTAACTCAAACATTGGGAAGTTAGATCCCAAAATAGTAAGTTTGCCATTTCATTGGCTACCCAGAAAAGTCAAAATGTCTTCATTTCTACTGTCCAAATAGACACTCAAAGGTTGTGGAAACGAGACACGCTGTCTTCCTAGAGGATGAATTAATGAGGGGGAGTATGGTAGCTCGAGAAATTGACCTTGAAGTGAAGCGGGTGTATGCGCCCACTCCAATGATTCATGAGCCAATTTTCTCACTACATGGCTGCACCGACAGTGCAAGATATTATGGTGTCAGCACCTATTGTTATTCCACCTGTGGCAACAATGAATAAAAATGAGGAACCTGTTCTTTAGGATCCTATAGAACCCATTGCCACACATGAGGAGGAGCAACAACAGCCTCAAACAGAAGATGTGCCAAATATGAAGGCCCCTAGAAGGTCTCAAAGAGTTAGAAAATCAGCTATTCCTGCTGATTATGAAGTGTACAACACTAAGGAATTTCAAATGGAGGATGATCCCACCTCATTTAAGAAGCCATGAGAAGTGATCATTCATCAAAGTGGCTTGAGGCCATGAAAGATGAAATAAAATCAATGAATGCCAGTAAAGTTTGGGATTTGGAGATAATTCCTAAAGGAGCCAAAATAGTAGGCTGTAAATGGGTCTACAAAACAAAACTTGACTCTCAAGGGAATATAGAGAGATATAAAGCCCGACTTGTGGCAAAAGGCTTTACGCAAAGAGAAGGGATTGATTACAATGAGACATTTTCTCCAGTCTCATGTAATGATTCCTTCAGAATCATAATGGCATTAGTGGCACATTACGATTTAGAATTACATCAGATGGATGTAAAGACGGCATTTCTCAACGAAGACTTGGAGGAAAATGTTTACATGGCACAACCGAAAGGTTTTGTCATGGAAGGAAAAGAACGAATGGGATGCCGCGTAAAGAAATCCATTTATAGATTAAAACAAGCTTTAAGACAGTGGTACTTGAAGTTTGATCAGATAATAAAGAATCTTGGGTTTAAAGAGAATGTAGAGGACAATTGTGTCTATACAAAGTTTAAGAATGGGAAGTTTATCTTCCTTGTCCTGTATGTGGATGATATCTTACTTGCTAGTAGTGATGTCAGTCTACTACTGGAGACAAAGATGTTTTTGTCCTCAAAATTTGATATGAAAGATCTTGGTGAAGCTTCGTTCGTTCTAGGGATCGAGATTCACCGAGATAGAAGTAAAGGGGTATTAGGACTGTCACAAAAGTCATACATAGAAAAGATCTTAAAGAAATTCTGTATGCACAAATATAGTCCCTCACCTGCTCCTATAGTCAAGGGCGACAGATATGGAGATTTTAAATGCCCCAGGAACCAATATGAGATCGATCAAATGAAAGTGGTTCCATATGCTTCAGTTGTCGGAAGCTTGCAATATGCTCAAGTATGGATGCGCCCTGACTTAGCATTTGTTACCGGGTTTTACTTGGCAGATTCCAGAGCAATTCTGAAATAGAACACTGGAAATTAGTAAAAAAAAGTCTTGCGTTATTTGCAAGGAGCGAAAGGCCTCATAATGACGTATAGAAGGTCTGATTCACTCCATATAGTGGGATGTTCAGATTCTGATTATGCGAGAGATGATAGAAAATCCACGTCTGGATATGTATTCACTCTCGCAAAGGGGAGCTATTTCATGGAAAAGCTCGAAGCAAACCGTCACTACATCGTCCACAATGTATGACAGTTTGTAGCGTGTTATGAGGCAATGGGCAGGTGAACTGACTAAAGAAGTTCATACCCGGTTTAAAGGTGGTTGACGACATCTATAGACCACTTAAGTTATACTGCGATAATAATCCGGCAATACAGTATGCTCACAACATAAGTCAGGTGGTGCTGCCAAACACATTGACATAGAGTATTATGTTGTGAAAGATAAAGTCTGAGATCAAGTCATAAGTCTTGAGCATATAAGTACAGAAAAGATGCTTGTGGATCCGCTTACAAAAGGCTTACCACCCAACGTGTTCAGAGAACATGTAGCTAGCATGGGTTTAAGGGAAAGCCTAAAATTCCTGAACAAAAGAAGGCCCAAAGATAAGTATCTATTTCAGAACAGAGTAGTGTGTTGTAGCTGTTAAATCTATCGGCAATGGACCGTGACGATGAAATATGCTCTATGCGCTAATTTGTAATGGAATGAACAAAAGTAAATGATATAAAATTGAAAGACAGTAATGAGATCAAGGGGGAGAACAAAAGTAAATGATATAAAATTGAAAGACAGTAATGAGATCAAGGGGGAGAATGTTGGTTGATCTCTACCAATAGGCCCAATTGGTCTATTGGGCCCTTGGATCTGGCGGCTAACCGATCGGGCGCCCAACCCTATATAAAAGGTTGGTGGGGATCGTGGGCTTGGACTTTGAGGACATATAAAAGGTAAGGTGGGGATCGATAGGCTTGGACTTTGAGGTTCAACGGAGCCGTTGTACAGGATGCCCCACCGATAGAGAAAATCTAAACCGATCTGGACATCCACAGCATCGCCACCACGACGCGCTAACGCCCCCGACGGGATGCTCACCACCGCCACCGCCGTCGCCCCTACCAAATGGGTGACCCATACGAAGGTACACCAGCTGTTTTTCCGCATCTAGTAGAAGCTCTACCCCGATCTATGGTTTAGAGGTCCACTGTGATTCTAACAGATAGTGCCCCTGCCACTGTGGCACATGCGCTGCCACTTGCCCTTGCCGGGGTGTGAAGCTTGGCACATGGCGCGGTCCACCTTTTGTTTTTGGCGCTCTTCGCACTTGCTCTGTTCCATGTGGACTGCTTCACGTAGTCCTTTCTCGCACGCAGACGCTGCTACTTTATGCATTATTGCTCTGCGTCTGCTCGCCTGAGGGTGCGTGCTGTACTGCTGTGGCCTGTGGGTATTTATTGGACGCTTCCCGGATCAAGCGATGGCGACAGTCGGCGGTGGGCGTGAGTGGCGACGCGACGCAGTGCGGTGGCGCGGCGAGCGAGCGACACGAGCTGAGCGAGCTAGCTAGTGCCCTACTGCCCAGCAAGCCCGAGCTCGTGCCACAGGGCTGCAGCACGACTTGCGCGATCGGCGTCGCCTCTCCTGCACACCGCCCGCCCGTCGCCTACTCATCGCCGGTGACCCCTACCGCAGCTCTCATCCTCCTCCTCCTCTTCTTCTTACTGCCACGCTAGCTACAGTTCACTGCATGCCTCACTGTCAAATTTCCTGCTAATTAATTAATCCCATCGGCCGGACATCATTCTCCTCAACCGGTCCAAAACCATGGCGCAAGCTGCTGCTTCTGAATCCGGCAAGAGTGGCACCAAAACCCCCACCTCAGCGGCCGACGAAGCTGAGCCCAAAAGCTACAGCGACCTCCTCTCCACTCTCCCCGCAAGAGGAGGGTGGGTGTCGCTCGTCCAGTACCAGAACTACTGGCTGAACCCCGGCAGGCTCCAGCACATCATCCCCGTCAAGGAGCTCTACAAGCCTCGCGCCGACGACATCATCCTCGCCACCTACCTCAAATGCGGGACCACGTGGCTGAAGGCGCTCGCCTTCGCCATCACGACCCGCGGCCGCCACCACCACGCCGGCGCCTTCGCCGCCGACGATGGCGGCGACCACCCTCTGCTCACCGTGCACCCGCAGGAGGCCGTGCCGCACCTGGAGGTGCACACCCCGGGGCAAGGCCTGGCGGACATCGAGATGCTGCAGTCCCCGCGGCTGCTCGGGACGCACCTGCCCCTCTCCCTGCTCCCGCCGGCCGTCGTGGCCACCTCCGGCTCCGGCTGCCGCGTCGTGTACCTGTGCCGGCAGCCCAAGGACGTGTTCGTCTCGCTGTGGCACTTTGTGATGGACATGCGCGGGGGGAGGTCCCCCGTGGAGATGGACGCCGCGCTGAGCATGTTCTGCGAGGGCGTCTCGCCTTTCGGCCCCGTCTGGGAGCACTACCTCGAGTACTGGAAGGAGAGCCTGGCGAGGCCTGAGCAGGTCCTCTTCATGAGGTATGAGGAGATGGTGGCGGACCCGGTGAGAGCCGTGAAGACGCTCGCCGGCTTCTTTGCCGTGCCGTTCACCGAGGAGGAAGAGAGAGCAGGGGTCCCGGAGGAGATAGTGAGGCTGTGTAGCTTCGAGACGCTGAGCGGCTTGGAAAGCAACCGGACGGGAGATCTTGATTGTGGAGACAACACGGTCATTGGGAAGTCTACGTTCTTCAGGAAAGGCAAGGTTGGGGACTGGGAGAACCACATGACCAAAGAGATGGGCAAGAAGGTCGACGACGTTTTTGAAGAGAAGCTCAAGGGGTCTGGTCTCGTGTTTTGATTATTATCCATGCATGGCTTTCGTTTGTGCGATGTTGTTTGTCCAGAATAATTAATCATTTGCACCTGTACCAGTATTTATGTAATGGGGTCTTTCTACTCAAAATAATCATTCTATAGTAGCATTTATGTAATATATGCATGGGATCTTTCTACTCAAAACAAACTATGATTGTGCCGAATAATTTATATATATTTATCATGTCTACCATTCATCTTTATGTATGTATTTTGGTCTCACCGCACATATATATGTTGAATTTTCTTCTTCTTCACCAATTAATTAGTTAATGCTATTTTTTTTATGTTTTTCACCAATTGTGATAATTTATAGATTCTCTTGATATTGACACAAACGCTTTATTTAGATATTTTGCATCCCAAGCCGTGCAAAAAAACAAGATGCTACTTTTTATATTATTTTAAATATAAAGGGGTGTTTTGGACCGCTCTCCTCCATGTTTTCGGCTCTGCTCCACGTTTTTTAGCTAAACGGTTTCAACTACACGCACTCTGCTCGAGAAAAAAGATAGAGTTGTGAGAGCACCTAAAGAGATGCTCCACGAGCTCCAGTTTTTGTGGAGCTGCTCCATTGTGGAGTTTGTGGAGCAGTCCCAAACACTCCCTCAATTTAGGTATTTATTATAATTAAGCTTTACCTGTAATGTTTATTTAGATACTGGAGTAGCTGCTAAAAGCTCGTACTTTGCAATGGGCACTAGGAAATGTAGTAGCAATTTGTTGTCATGAGAATTGTACTTCTAACTACAAATACTAAATTGGTCATAACTCCACGAATAGACTAACTTAGTTATTAAATACTCCCTCCGTTAAATAAATTTGTATAGAGGAATTACTACCTCGAGTCAAATAAGGATGACGTTTTAGACATCATAAATGACTCGCATTTACTGAAATTACTCAGCCAATTCTTTAACTACACTTTTATATAGGCTACTTTCCTCTAAGCACAACTAGAGCAAGCTCCTCCTTTGACACTGATTTCCATGTGACGAGTAGTGATAGTGCAGTGGTCTCGTATGTAGATGCAATCCCTAGCAGCGACACGGGAAAATCTCTCTTTTCCCAGGAAGGAGGCCAAGACATGATCGAGGTCGATGTCTTCGTCTGATTGGGTGAACCGAACTTTTCTGCAAGTTTATGTGAAGGCCGAAGACATTGCCGAATTCTTGCAGAATGATAGTGGTGGCTTCGAGATCTTCCTTGAAGGGGTTAATGAATATTACCGCATCATCCACTACGTAAAAAACAATTTGTAGCAACGGGATAAATTTTTTATAGGGGCAGCTGGTGATGGAGCCGCCTCTATAGTGGCGTGCTCGAGAGCCCAGAGGCCAGCCGCCCCTACAAATGGAACAGCAGGGGCGGCTGGTCATACGAGCCGCTCCTACAAATGGGTCGGATTTGTAGGGGCTGCTCACTCACCAGCCACCCTCGGTATTGCTATTTGTAGGGGCGGCTGGTGATTGAGCCACCTCTACAAATGCCCGCGTATAAATGCCTCTGATTTGTAGGGGCGGCTCTATCATCAGTCGCCCCTACAAATGACCCCTTCGATTTGTAGAGGCGGCTCTATCACTAGCCGCCCCTACAAATGACCCACATATAAAGTAAACTGCAGCACCTTATTTTTTCTCGGGTCACTCACTCCAACCCATGAAAGAAAGGTTGGGAGGTCTTGGGCACCTCCCAAAAATTGCTCTACTAAGAGGGGAAGGTTTTGGTCTCAAATCCTTTGATGGAGATGTTGTAAACGGTAAAAAAATGCTATTCCACACTTTTTTTGAAGTTTTAATGGTTGGTTAGTGAGTAATTAGAGTTTTACTTTTCTCTCTCTTCTATGGTGCTTAAGCTACTTATGAAGCAAATTAGACACAAGTTTTGAATGTACTAAGGTAAATTAGGGAGGGGAATAAGATCATACCCTTATTTGGTCCATATTTCTTGATTGTAGTGAACAATTAGTTAGTTTTATGGATGTTTCATGTGCATGTAGATCTAGATTTAGGGTTTGATTTTTTATTAATTTTGGTTTTGTAAATTTGTGTTTGATAAAATTAGACTAGGGTTTGCATGAAAGATATTGGGTAAAATATAATTGTTGCTAATTGTTGTCTTTGAAATTGTTTATTGTAATCAACAAATATGTATTTTAATTATTTATGAATAAATGGGCCATTAATTAATTTTCTTCTACCATGGTGTGTTTGTATGCTTCATGTAATTATATTTGATTTATATTCATATATATATCTGAAGTATATACAATTATTCTCAAGTAATTATTAATTTGATTCATTTTTATATATATCTGAATAAGTAATCCTTTATGTTTGTTTTGTTGTTGTTGTAAAAGATGGAGTACAGGAACTCTTGGATGTATGGTTTGTTAAGGTTCAAGGCAGGTTTCCGTGAAGAGGTGGATAAATTTATTGAGGCTGCAAAGAACCATGCAACGACATTGATAGAGAATAAGGATACAATTATTTGTCCCTGTAAAGATTGCAAGAACCGTATGGCATGGACAGATGTGACTATCATCAGATCACATTTGATTATGCGAGAATTTGTTGAGGACTACACAGTGTGGATTCATCATGGTGAAACGGTTATTGTTAACGACGAGGATGAGGAGGAATACGACGATGAAACCATAGAATCCCTGTCCCAATATTTAGCAGAGCTTGATGCACGAATGGATTCAGAGTTTGGCAATGAACAAGGTGGTGATGCTAGTGGTTGGGATGGTAACGACGAAGGTGGTGCCAATAATGATGGTGGAGCACGTGTCGGGGATGAAGATGATTTGGAGGACATGATTCAAGCCCTTGGACCAGAGATTTTACTAAATAGCTCGAAAGGTCTAGAAAATTTAGAAAGGGTGACAAAAACATCGAAGGAGACTATGTATGGTGTTGAAAAGGGTTGTCCGACACATTGGACATCGCTACATTTTGTGCTTGAGCTACTCATCCTGAAGGCTAAGTACGGCTGGTCAGACTGTAGTTTCAATGATCTATTGCATCTCCTGTCATGGGTGCTACCACAACCAAACTCAGTTCCCGCCAACACATACCAAGCGAAAAAGGTCATAAGTCCATTGACAATGGGGGTTGAAAAAATCCATGCATGCCCCAACCACTGTATACTTTTTCATGGCGAAACGTTCAAGTCACTGGATAAATGTCCCCGGTGTGGGGCCAGCCGGTACAAGAACAATGACCTTTAAGGTGGGGACGAAGCCTCCACGGGGAAAAAGAGGAATAAGAAGGGTACAAAAAAGGTGGTACAAGAATCTCAGCCCCCAGAGGACACTCCATTAGGCAACAATGCAAAGCAGAGAAGAATTCCTGCCTTGGTAATGTGGTACCTGCCAGTGACCGACTACTTGAGACGTATCTTCCTAAACCTTAAAGAAGCCGCACTCATGACACGGTGGGATGATGAGCGCAAGGTGGATGATGATAAGATTACCCACCTGGCTAATTGTAGTCAGTGGCAAAGGTTCGATGAGAAGCACAAAGAATTCAGCGATGACCCAAGGAATGTACAGTTTGGCTTGAGCACCGATGGAATGAATCCCTTCAATGAGAGGATGAGCGACCACAACACTTGGCCAATGATCTTGACCATGTACAACATCCCAACGTGGTTGTATCAGAAGAGAAAGTACCTTCTCCTCACTATTCTTATTTCTGGCCCTAAACAACCAGGCATTGATATAGACGTGTTCCTCGAGCCTTTGATGGAAGAAATAGAGAGGCTATGGAGGCATGGGGAGCCGATGTACGATGTGTTCTGAAAGGAGGACTTCATATGTAGAGCAATAATATTTGTTACTACCAATGATTATCCCGCGCTGTTTGCTTTGTCTAGACAGATCAAAGGGAAGATGGGATGCTTGGTTTGCTTGGATGGTACTACATGGGTGTACCTGGATGCATCCAAGAAGATAGTTTACCTAAGGAACCAACGCTTCTTAAAGACAAATCACAAGTACCGTAGCAAATTGTTCTTTAGATTTTATGACAACACCCCAGAGATTGAACCCCCTCTAGAGAGATGTCATAATGGAGAACATGTGTACATAATGGTGAAAAACATACACGTCGTCTATGGAAAGAAGAATCTAGATGGGACGAACAGAGATAGAAGCACACCTCCTGTCGAAGGCGTACCTTTCAAGAAACAATCGATCTTCTTTCAGTATCTGCCTTATTGGCCAGACTTAGAGGTCCCCCATACCATTGATGCTATGCACGTACAGAAGAATGTCTTTGAGAGTCTCATTGCTACCTTGATGGACACAGGCAAGTCAAACGATGGTCTAAAAGCATGAAAAGACATGGTGTAGCTAAACGTGATGCCACAGCTTCACCCGGTACCTGAGGCTAATGGAAAATACACTCTGCCCGCGGCGTGCTTCAAGCTAACACCAGACGAGAAGAGAGCTATATGCACTTTCCTGAGGGGGGTCAAAGTCCCCACTGGGTTTTCAGCAAGTGTAGAGAAGCTAGTGTCGATGAAGGACTTGTCAATAACACACTACAAGGCTCACGATTGTCATGTGATGCTGACAGTGTTTCTACCTATTGCAATCAGGGCTATAAAGCCAGAGTTCTTGAAAATGGCCATCACCCGCATGTGCTACTTCTTTTCGAAGATCTCACAGAAGACGATTGGCAAGCAAGAGCTGAGTGACCTACATGAATTTGTGGTGGAGACACAAAACCAACTAGAGATGTGTTTACCTCCTGCTTTTTTGATATAATGTCATATCTCATGATTCACATGGTTCATCAGATACAGGCGCTAGGCTCTTGCTACTTGCATGAAATGTGGTCCTACAAGCGGTTCATGTCGGTTCTAAGTCGATACGTGCATAATCGAGCATACCTAGAGGGCTCCATGATAGAGGGTTACAGTACTGAAGAAATTATCGAGTGCTGTCAAGAGTACCTAAAAGTACAGAAAGGGATT